ATATCTAATTGAGTATGTAAAATTTGTGAATTTTTTTTATAATTGACTTAATATCAGTTTCTTTATAGAACATAAATTAATAAACGCATCATCAAAAACGTGGACATCAACCTGCAAGAGGAGTTTGCTGAATTATTATCGGATCTTGAAGCAAAGACGATTTATAAAAATTTAACAATAAGTAAATTTTGAACAACTATAAATATAATGCAAAAATATGTAGAACTTTATGAAATAGCTCAGCCTTTTTATGCTAGCTTTTCCAAGTTCCTGTATGGTTGAAGCCGGTTTCCGTCACGTAAATTCAATCTTAACTAAGTACAGAAATAAATTAAATGTGGAGTTACGAGGGGATTTAAAATTAAAATTGACCAATTTTGAACCCAATATAGCGAACCTTGGAAAAAAAACACCAGGCACACTCATCTCATTGGTTAAGAAGCAATAAATCTGTAGTTACTTTACTTATTATTTCTACGTATTTATAATTACTTATTATTTAATTAATATTAAGGTATTTAAATTTCAACATTAATATATTTTTCATAAAACTATTGTTACACAATGTACTATTACTTTAATAAATGTTTAAGTCATGAAATAAATGTACAAACACAGTATCTAATAGAGTTTTATCTTAATTAACGGAAAATTACTTTTATGGGGGTCGATGGAGATTTCGAAAAATTATGTAGGGGTCAATGATGAAAAAAGTTTGGCGACCCATGAGCTAAAGTAATAACCTCTTCACATTTTCTATGACGCAATTTTAATAATTTCAACAAATTAAAAAAAGTTATCAATAGTGAAAAAAACAAGGTTTTATGTAGTATTATAAAATGATATATACGTAGAAAGATTTTCTTTTTTTTACAGATAATGTTAATTAAGCGGGTTATAATTCAAGTTTAACCTCGTCCATTTTATTATTTTAATTAATTACATGTGATGAGATACTTTTGCATGTGAGTTTAATTTGCAGACAGGGAAAAGAGAAAGTGTTGATAACTGTCAATATGATGCAATATTACTTATGTAATATTTTATCGCACATTATTTAAAAGAAAAGAAAAACATTACATTTATACTTTTTAACGAGGAAAAGACTGTTTTCAAGAACATCTCACAATAAAAAGCAGATTTTTATCATCCAAGTTCGAAATTGAATTTGTTTTACTATCTTGTTGATACTTGAAACCTTGCCAAAATAGATAAGAACATAGATAAAAACGTTAGGAAATTTTTTCAAACTTTTTAACAATGACTGGGGAGGGAAAATAGAGAAATTTTCTGTTACAAGTTATATTTACCTACAAAACTGTATCAAACAACTGTATTTGACAACAATGAGGATCGTAACTAATTAGCTTTAAACAATTCTTCAATTTTATTAAGTTCGGGTAAACGATTCAAATCGAATCGGACGTTAAATTTATGAATTAGTTTATGAGGTGTTTTTTTTTTTCAGTGCTTCTCTTGTAATGTAAAATGTTTCTGCATTTCAAGGGAAATTTTCTTAGATAGCTCAGTTTTATATTCTTATAATTTCTAACAAGTTGTTGCAATAAATTTCATTACATCCGAATTATCCTTCTTTAATAAAAGCAGAAAATTACTTTAAAAAAATGTAAGGATATTTAAAATAATTAATGTTCTTGCGAAAAAAATTTTCGTGTACCTATTATATAGTTAACGTTTTCATTTAAACAGGTTAATATATGTAGCATAAAACGCATGATATAGAGTCTTAAGTTAAAATAAACTTTTTTCTTAAAAAGGAAAAGAAACTAATTCCCCCGGACTTTGGTAAATTTTAATATTTTAAGTTAATTGTTATTTTAATTTAAAGAAAATGAGTTCAGGTAAGCCTAGAGCAGGGATGGCGAACCAATGGCACGCGTGCCATTTATGGCAAGCGACACAATATTCTGGGCACTCCACCGATCACAAAGTTCATTATGAAGCATATTAACGATTAAATGAAAATTCACAAAAACAAACAAAAAAAGCAATTATTAACAAAATATTAACAATTAATGCCAATAAAAACAATTAATAACCATAAGAAACAAGCTAACAATAAATAACTAGCAAAAATAAATTTAACAGTCCTGCCTAAACTAACATCTTACTAATATAAGTTATTAGTAATCTAATCTGCATCAACAGAAGTCACACTGATGTTACTTTGAGTTGAATTACGCGTATAACTGAGACATTGCAAAATGTTTATTTTTTTTCCATATTTAATAAAGAGTTTTGAGTTGATGGTATTTAGTATTGTTATTTACCCAAGAATCACGAAGTCAAAATTATTTGACGGCACGTCTATGACCTCATTAAACAATTTTCAGAAAAAATGGCACGTTGGTGCATAAAGGTCCGCCACCCCTGGCCTAGAGTTAACTTTGAAGTTTCTAATGCTAAAAAAGTGTTTTGAAAATATCAAAATTCATTACCTCTTTAAAAAAAAACTTTATTTCACTATATTCTTTGATGTTTTTATACTTTCTTCTCTTTTCGAGACGAGAAGGGAAAAGCAAAGTGTGAAAGGAGGGGGGGGAACACAATATTGATGATCCCCTCGCTGGAGGGGATGGTTTTACCAACTTTTTTTTTTCCCATTTGGGGACAGCAGGTGAGAATTTCAGAAGGGAAAGTTCACTGATAGACTTTTCTGAATGGAAATAATAGGAAACATTGGCAAAATAAAAATCCTTACCAGCTGTTAAGGTTGAACAACACATTGAGGTTCGCATTTCCAACAATTTAGACACTGAACTTTGAGATTAATTTTAAGTTAAGATAGAGACAATTCTCAGAGAAATCTACTCGCTTTCTGATTTATTCTCCTAATGGAGTAAATATGGGAAAAAACGATTTAATGGCTCTAATATTTTTTAAAAATTTTGAAGCAATTTCGATTTATTATTGTTGTTATCATTAAATTTTTTTATTATTATTTTATATACTGTATTAACTGAGTAAAATCTTGTAATGTGTAGCTTTTGTTTCGTTTAAAAGATTTTTTCTTTATTATTTATACAATAATTATATAACAGCGAAACCCAGAACCCTATATAACTAAATTTAATTCAGTATTGGTCTGTTACTAATCATTTCATTCGTAGACTACGATTTAAAAAAGTGCTTTTTTTAATTTATGGCAAATTCACTATGGAACTTAAATAAGGTAAAAGAGATTTTATCTTTCCAAATAGCCCTCAAAATAATTCTCTTACTAAGCTCTTTCGCTTAAACTCATAAAATGCGATACAGAAAATGTTTTAAACTTAAGTTCAAAAAATAATAATAATAAAAATCTTAATTCTAAGACTTGCACACAATGCCAGCCTTAGAATTACTTATAACCTGTTTTGTCGTTTGAATATTATAAAAGCAAGCAACAAAGCTTTATTGTACAAATTTTTAAGTTAGTGAGTGGAAAATTTAATTTAAAATCACCTTTTTTGATAGGACACAAATAGCCGCCCTCTAACTAAAGGTATATTATTAAATTAAGGATTAATTGGAAGTGATAAAACATTTATTGTTAAAAACCTTAAGAAAATATTATTTAATATATATTAAAAAAAAAAAATTCTTCTAATTTTGAAGCAGCGCAATAGATAACTCTTTCGCATTTCAAGGGTGCATGACGATCAATAATATTAGGAAAACATGGCGCTCAGAATCTCCCACTTTGTAACCATGGTAACCCTCGAGAGTGTTTAGACACGGAACCACTTTTTAACCGGGCTTCACTAGTATTACATTAATTACGATGCTTAATTTGAAATGAAGTATTCGAATTA